TGGCGGGGCTGCTCGCCACGGGGGCAATGCTCTGCGGGACCCTGTTAGTCCTGTACATTTGGATGAGGTGTGGAAGATGGGCTAGACGCTCCCCAGGTAAGAGCAGGACCACAACACATGGTGGACCTGGCCTGCTTGGGGAGCTGGCTGCACTCCTTGGCTGGCCTGCGTGCACCCCAACCTGGGGCTGGGGATTGCACTCTCCATGCGTCACCCCGCTCCTTCATTTTGCAGACAAGCCACTTATAAAGAAGACAGAGGACACCGGGACGTCATCCGAGGCTTAGGCAGCCACGCTCCTGGTGTCAAAGGCAAGGCTCCCTCAGGACCCCAGAAGACTCTGCTCTGTGGAGCCAGAAGAGCAGAGCAGTCGCTGCAATGTTCAGCAGAGAGGACCCTCTCTGGCAGAGCAGAGACTCCTTTCCTGTGTGCCCATAGCCCCCAGCTCACTGTGCAGAGCCTCTGTGGGTCCCAGTTCCTCCATGCAGCACCACAAAGCCCCTCAGTCTCCAAGCAAGGTCTTCTCAGAATAACCCCTATCTGGTTCTCCAGGTAGGCTCCAGCATCCTAACCCATTCTGCACAGACTCCTCTTATTCCCAGCCCTATAACCACTGTAGTCCCTATTCCCAGCCCTTATAGCCCCCTATAATCCCTGTAACCCCCTGCAGAGTCATCTGCAGTGGCACCCAGTGCCATCACCCTCACCGCATTCCCAATGGGATCCTACCTTTTCCCCTAATCTCCCATGGAAGTGAGGATTACTTCCTGATCCAGGAGCACGGAAGCAGGTGCTCTCCTGCACTGTACGCGGCCACCTTTGCAAAATGAGGAGTGAACTTAAAAGCCCGTCCAGATCTGGGTGAGAATTCCCTCACTCATTGTATTTATTCAATCCACTTTTGAATACCAGTAAAAACCATGAAACCTGAAAGAATGAGAATGCAGCACGATACAGATTATCTGGAGAAGGTCTTTGTAATAAAGTGGGGATGAGTTTGGGCTCTTTGTGGCTCCAAGATGCAGGACCAGATAGATCCAAACTCAGACCATGGGCTCTGCAGGGACTGCACTATCTCAAGAAGATTGGTTTTTTTCAGGCTTCCCAGGGGGACACAACACCTACATTCAGAAGGAGCAGAAGGGACGTAGGACCATGTCTCAATACCAGAGCGGCTGTTTGTCCAAAATTTGAAAACAGCCCCAGCCAGAAACGCCCTTGCCCAGAGCTGCATCAGCCACATCAGGCTATGACAGTTCAGAGCATTTCCATGCTGGTTGGTGTCCAGAAGCTCTTTGCTGCTGGCCTGTTTGTTTGCAAAGAAGGGGAACAAAGTCCTTGGGCTCACTGAGCCTTGGTACAAATGAACACAGTCACCTTTCCTGACTGCTCAACGTTTTTTGAGATGAGTTTTGACTCATTTCCAGCCTAATTTTCACCAATCATTCTTGTACCTTTGTTGAGCACACCTCTTTTTTCCTTCTGGTCTTCAGCCCTAGCTCTGTGTGCCACTGGGGTTTGGGTTTCACAGAATCGCAGAATCCCAGAATGGCAGGGGTTGGAAGGGACCTCCGGGGATCACCCAGCCCAACCCCCCTGCTCAAGCAGGCTCACCCACAGCAGGGTGCACAGGACATCGTCCAGGCAGGGTTTGAATATCTCCAGAGAAGGAGACTCCACAGCCCCCCTAGGAAGCCTGTTCCAGGGCTCGGTCACCTTCCAAGTCAAGAAGTTCTTCCTCACATTCAACTGGAACGTTGAAACTCTTCTGCTTCAGTTTGTGCCCATTGCCCCTTGTCCTGTCGCTGGGCACCACTGAGGAAAGTCTGGGTTTCTCTTGGCTGATCTTCCTACAGGCAGCAGTCCACTCTCCACTCTAATGTGCCTCTCAGGTTTTGCCAGGCGGAACAGATTAAACTCAGCCTGAGACTTTCCCGGCCGTGCTGTCCTCTTCCCATTACATGCTCCAGTTTTGCTTCTTATTTTTGCACAGACGTGGGCAGAAGCATCCACCCTGTTTCTGGCAGGGGTCACATCCTTGCCCAATGCAAGCCCCATCTTCAATGCACCGCCAGCACAGCAGCCACCTCCATCTGAACCCTCCCATTTGGAGCAATGGGTGTTGTTAATTTGACGACCCTTTTGCAAAACTAATTTTTTCCAGCAGCGTGCTGCTCTGGCCTCAGGCCCTTCCCTTGCAGAACTTCAGCGCACCATCATGAAGGGATGGGAGGACAGCAGACTCTTCCATCCTCTCGGGACATGCTTGGGGCAGTGACTTGCAAGGGACATGCCTGGAGCATCATCTGCAACCGGGAAGCAAACTGCTGATCCAAAAGGGACCCTTGGGGTCTTGCAAGGGCAGCCAGAGTAGGATAAGAAAATGGCAGTTCCCCTTGTTGTCCAAATCCAACTGAGCTATTCAAAACATTGCAAGGTGGGTACAAGACCCCTTTCTCATCACAGATGGTGTCCAGGCTCACCTCATGACAAACAGCTACAGTGCAGGTGGTGGTTCCACCCTCCACGATAAAGCCATTTCCAGCCTTTAGTAACCTATTTCCTGGCAGTGGACGGTCCCTCACCCCCCAAAACCCAACCAGACACTTTCTCATGGAGCTAACATAGCTATACTTCCCCAGTTTGGTGAGTAAAGGCTTGATTTAGCTTGTTGAAAGTAGATATCTTGTACCAGGACGCATCAGGGCAGCTGAGGTGCCCCCAGGGGCTGGCACGTACGAGACGGCACCTGAGCGTCAAGAGGATTGTTTGCTCCGTGTTTTCCTGGAACAGCTCACTGTTTCGCAAGCCGATGACAAGACTGGCCGCTGCATGGGGCAGCGAGTCACTTCCTGGCAGAGCTTCACAGGACGTGAAGCTCCCAGAGGGGAGCAGGGCGGAGGAAGAGGAGGGCTCGCTGCAGAAATCCCAGTGTGCCTTCCCGGTTGGCCAGTGGGACACTGTGCTCAGCTGGCATCTCTCACAAGGACATTCCACTCCAGCCTCCAGCCCGTGGCCAGGCTGCAAACATGGGGGTGCCAGGTGGTGGCCATCCCTCGCCCAGCCACCCCAGGGGGAGAAACCAACCCACCCACGTTGGGGCCAAGAGCACGGGGACCCTCCTCCTGATGGCGTGCCTTTGGGGTGAGTGGCGTTCGCCTTCGCTGCTGATCACAGGGAGCCCATTGGCCACATTGGCTCCTCCAGCCTGCTAAGCTAGCACTTCATGGAGCACAGCAGAGGCTGGTCAGGGGTCCTGGGTTTCCCTCGGGCATCTGGGGCGGGGGGGAGGGAGTGGCTTGTGATGGCTTTGGAGGCGGGTGAAAGGATTTTTACACAAAGTCGTGAGCTCAGCTATCACGGCTGCACTCCAAGAGTCAGATCTACTTCTGCACACATGATTTTGCCCCATAATCAAAAGCTTGTGCCCCATAATTAAAGGCTTGTGCACATTACAAGAGAGGACGGAAGCATGCCCGATCCTGAAGCTGTCTCTCAGCTGGCTGCAGCCTCCTCCCCTGATCTAACCTTGGCTTATCCCAGACTCTGCATGGCAAACTCCTGGTATTGCAGCACGGTTGGGGGCTTGGCCAAACCCCA